GGGGGGGTGGCCTGAGAAAGCACACTCGAAAGTAGGTGGTGTGTAGGGGCGCACGGAAGCAAGGTTTTGGAGGTGCTTTTTTGATCCCCCGTGATTGTGGGCTTATAAAATGCAGATCCTTTTCCTTTACAAAATGCAAATTCCAAGACACATTGTATAAACATTAGGGTTTGTTTTTGTTTTTTAAGGATAACGACATAAGATCTGGAGTATCGTCATTTTATAAACTTTACTAACTTGGACACCGAATGACAGTAATAGAGGGCAGGTGAACCCCGTAATCTCATTTATAAACATTCACTTGTCGAGTTGTCAGAGGATGGTCAGAACATGATTTCTCATTCTACAAAGATCATGTTCTGGACTGTCTAAAAAGGTATTGATTTTTCATATGTTTCAATAAATCCTAAATTTAAGAAATGGCCTCAAACCTCTTGAAACATCAGTGGAAGACAGGAACTGAAGGAATATGACCAGGAAAATAACTAAGAACTAAAAATTAACTAGCTACTTTTTCAAGAGGTTTGAGGCCATTTCTTAAAATTTAGGATTTTTGAAAACATATGAAAAATCAATACCTTTTTAGACACATTGCTTGTCTAATTCCTGTCTTTCATTACTGAAAATATTATACATTTGCAGAATCTGAAAAATTCAGAATCTGAATCATTACTAAAGAAAAACTATTTCAGAATCTTGAGATCTTGACATGACGAATTTTCATTTTATAAAGTATCCGGATTTGGCTTCTTACGGACATTTCCGATGAGCAATTCGCATTTTACAAAGGGGTTCTTCCTGGATGTCGATTTCTATCTTAACCTATCACAACCTGTGCTGGTCATTTATAAACTAGTTGGTTTTTCATGTTATAAACAAAAAACCTATCCCATACATTTTATAAAGCCGCAAAGTTTATAAAATGCAAAATCGGCGCCCCTACGAACCATCACGGGGGATCTTTTTTGTGATTTTTTAAAAATGCAATTGTCTTCGGTTGCTTGCAGTGTTATACTTGGCAACTGAATTGTAGCTACCCTGGGTATCCCTGGCAACCGCCTTTTGGCTGCCCTGGGTCCGCGCGCGCGCGCGCCTCAATCACGGGCAGCCGGGAGCCAGCAAGGCGCGCGCGCGCGTGCGCGCGCGGACCCAGGGTAGGGAAATTGAAGTGGGATACCTGGCAACAGAATTGTAGCTACCCTGGGTCCGTATAAATGCTATGTTGCTCTACCTCTTACACACCTATATCAGTAACTTCAATGCAAGAATGAGACTTCAAAGCTGTGGATTGCTGTGCGTGTGTAAAGGTTGTCGAGCGGTTGACAGAAAGGGAACTTGACGTACTATACCTGGTAACTGAATTCTAGCTACTCTGAGAGCTGAGTAAGACACTCGAAAGTAAAAACGTTGGCTTTCGTTTTGCAGTTTCTCAGGTTTCGTTCGCCTTGCTTAAAGACGGACCCGGTTGTGGGTGTGTGGTGTCACTCCTAGACCAATTCGTGTTCGAGCAGTTCCTGCCAGCATGTTGCAATCACACAAGATTCCCAAGGGAATGAATACCGCGCAGTCAAGCATCACGTGGATTCACTCGGTATGTTCTCGAAGCAATGCAGACGTTTGTTGGAACATCGAACGAGGCCGCCTGAGAATGTGCAGCAGCTGGAACGAGCTGGCGGTGCTGTTTTCCCCCCTGCTAGGTTCGGCAGCTGCAGTGCAGCTGCAGTGCTTGATTTTGACACACCCATTTGTGCTTGGGCCAGTAACGAAGGATCCTGGTCAGTCAATGTCGACTGGATGTTTCTTTAATTGATGGCATATCAGAATCTGCTTTTGGCCAACACAAGACTATTTTCATTGTTGGGGTGAGGCAGTTGCTGTAGAACTTCTTGCTGCAGACTTGACATCTACTGTAATTCCGGCGAAGGCAAGTAGTGAGTAAGGGTGCATGTTCTATATAATAGTCCTATCAGATTATAGAATAGAAGCGTATCAGAGTCACTGACTTGCACTGACTTGCCTGCGTCGGATGCAAAATCACCAGGTTTCCTTGACCAATTTCCTTGACGTATGCTGCTTCCTTATCTCGGAATGGCAGCGTACGTTCAATCTGAAGACCGGTCAACTGGAAAGAACTGCGAACACATCGATAATTTCCGCAATGCCCCAGAAGCAATCTGCAGAACCTGAGTCAACGGAGCCTCTCAAAGTGCAAATCATACATTCTGCGCAGCCACCAGGCCGGAAAGGAAGAATCTGCCTCTCTCACCAAAGCACAACTCAGCTCTATGTCCGTCGCCAGCCAAGTTTCACTTTCGGGTTGATCCCAGGTGATGAGCTGCCCACGTAATTGATAAGTGTTTGGCACAAGAAGCGCAAATCCTGGGTCCATCGCTGCATAGTAGACCCGAGCTGGTGCAAAAATATGTTGTACTTAAGAGGGACCATGTTGCACGTTGGCTTGCACCGCACCCAAACTTCATCAGCGCGCGTGTACTCCAGTGGTAGCACCAGCTGAAGAAAGGATCATGTTGCTGTGTGTCATGTTGCTGTGTGTCATCTTGATGTGAAGACAACCACTGAAGGCAGCTCAGCTGGGGAAATGCACAAGCCGCCGAAAGTGGAATAGCATCCAATCATAGGTCCCCGGTTCTTGGTGACGTCTACAAGACTTTGAGTGTGTATTGGATGAGCAGAGGCATGAGAGTCACTGCAGATCTTGATGTCAAGTTGACATGCTTGCCGTGGTAGACTGCGACCAAGATGGCAGTGGCATGGGCATGATTTGGTTGAGTGGGGCCGCGCACAGCACCCGCGTAGTAATGGGATTGACTACACTCCAAGCCGCTTGAGCCAGATAGCAAATGGCCGGCTTCGAAGTTCAAACTTGGAGTATTGAACATTGCTGATGAAGGCTCCAGACTGTGGAGCAGTGGCCCGTTCTCGTTCAACTGTACATGCCTTTGTCCGAATGGAGTGGGGAACTCACACATCCACCTGGGCTGGTTCTCGAATGTGATCAGCTATATGATTGTTGTGTGCTCTCGTGCTCTTATGACTGTGCTCTCAGATGCGTGCTCTCTAGACCTTTGTGCATTTCTGAAACTCTCACTCTCACTCGCACTCACTCTCGCTCACACTCACCCTCACACTCACACCCACTCTCACTCACCCACTCACTCTCACTCTCACTCTCACTCTCACTCTCTCTCTCTCTCACTATCACTCAAGCTCTCCCCCACTCTCACTCTCGACTCACTCTCACTCACACTCTCGCTCACTCTCACTCTCACGCTCTCCCCCACTCTCACTCTCGACTCACTCTCACTCACACTCCCACTCACTCTCACACTTACTCTCACTCTCTCACTCTCACTCTCACTCTCTCACTCTCACTCACACTCACACACGCTCACACTCACACTCACACTCGCTCAGCTCTTTGAACCCCAATGCGTCTAGATCTCTAGACTTTCTGCTACTACACCGTTAGACCTCACACACACTGTTTGGGGTCTCTTGCCGGCATAGTTTTTGGCGGCCAATGTTGTTGAAGGCCTTCTTTAGATAAGCACTGCGACCGACCAAACTATACCAAACTATCTCTTTCCTGAAAAGCCCATTAGTGTTTACTTTGAATGCAAATACCATTTGAGGAGCTCGCCTGGCACCCCTGCAGGCAGCCAGTTGAGAACCTCGCACTGCTGCCGAAACGGGCGCCAACGGCCGACATGCCAAGAGCTGCCGAAAGGCCCAATTCAGTGGGGTGTTGGGGGGTTATGTTGCGCGTAAAGTAGTTTCAATTGTGCATCAAACCTAAGCGCATCCCATCATGTCAGGGGATGTTTGGGAGGAAAGCGAGCTAGAGTGTAGAGGAAGCAGAGAATACGAAAACAGCATGATAAGTCAATTTGCAAACACATGTAGTGGAGAAACCATCGAACAAAAACGACCAAACTTTGATTTGAGAACAAAACATACTACATATTTGGCTTGGTGTCGAGGGTACAGTGGTAGGGGTGCTTGATCTTTGTGTTCAAGGCTTATTTATATATTGGTGGACGGTTTCTCAGCTCAAGTTGTTCAGTCCGGTGAATCAGGACACCAGTTCATGGTTCGGGAAGTTGCTGTTTGTCAAAACAAAACCATACATGTATGAAACAACATGTTTGCTCACGGGGACTATTCAACATTTATAGAAATAATTGATCACAGAAGTTCATGTGTTTGAAAACGATTTAGACGATGTCAGTGATGTTTTGTTAAGGACAACATCACCTCAACTGATTGGTGTCGTGGGAGCAAAGTACAAAGAAGGGCACGACACGACTTCGGGCATATTGAAGAGAATCTGTGCAAACCATCTTAAACCTATGCAGTTTGCTGATGGCAGAAACTTATGAAGCATCCGTAGCAATTTCAACAGTGGTTTCGTCCTGGCACACTGTCATACACTGTTTTGCTCTCTCCTGTGTCCACCAGAGCTTGGGCACCAGGTCAGAACAGGTATTGAATGAGGGGTATTGATTGAGGGTCCCAAGAGTACTTGTGAGGTACCCGATCCGACTAGGGTTCTGTACCAGTCTTTTCATGAGAACCTTGACGTGTTATGACGTGTTCTTCCTTGGCATTTCGGCTGCTGATTGTTTGTTTTAAATCGTATCATGTTGCTTTCTTGTTAAATTATTCTGGAAAGGATCACAGCCATGGTAGGATGGAAGCCAAACCCTGCACAATTGCTTGAAACTCGTTCCGTACTTGTAGTGGCACAACGAAGACAACTATATAAACCAACCGCACTTTTGTTCACCGTAATGATCTTGAGCTCCGCACAAGGCAGACAACTGAAGCATCTTGGGGGCTCTTTTTCATCTTTGTACACCTTTTGGATCAATTCTTCACTGTCCGCTCTTCAACTCCGGAGGCCGGAGAAAGTTGCATGGCCGGAACGAGAACCGCCTGCAATCTGTGACATTTCGCATCTGCCTGTGGTGAGTCCCGCGGGGGAATAGGCGGTCGGTCATTCTTTGGTGTGGATGGTTTCTCCTCACAGGGTGCTGGCACCAGCGACATGCGGGGTGCTGGCACTGGCAATAGGATCCAACCCACATGGAACTTGTTTTTCTTGATCCAACCCACAGAGCTTGTTCTAAATTTGATAGCAAGTCTGTCTTGCCCTTAAACGGGATGGGTTGGGGGCCCTTTCGGCCTTGTCAGTTGATGGCCATTGATACTTGTGACCCAGCTGGTGCTTCACGTGGAGAACTCCCGCTGAAAGAGACCTCTGACCTCTCACCTTTCGAGATCGACAATGCTTGTCAGGTTGGTTTAAAGGTTACCGTAAGCTGTAGGTCAACTACCTGAATGGTTCATCCCAGCTAAGGATTTGCACATATTTATGCAATAAACCCGGACCCTATCTAACCACCAACGTACGCAGACGGTACCTTTCCATCAACATTGTGTCATTCTCCGCTGCGCCACTCAGAAGACAGTGAACAGATGGACATTACATGAATGAACCAAGCACCGACGTACTCTGATCATCTCTGATCCTCAAATTGCCATCAACTTTCGCCATCGTCGTTCCACACCCAACTGTCGAACTCCCTCTACACCTTCCCAGGCAAGCCACAGACGAACACCTCACGCAGCGGCCCGAACGAGCTCCACCAGCCATTGCCAACATCCCGCAGCAAAAAGTGGAGAGGCCCCGGGGGGGAGCGGGACAGTACTCTGCTAGGCTCTCTAACGGGCCCAAGACTGCGGACGGATCCACTGATCCACAGATGAGTACTCAGGTGTTCTGGCTATCCCTATTCCTTGAGGGAATCCAAAACATTCAAGGTAGGGTTCCTTTGGCCTCAGGCATTGTTTTGCCCATCCCACTGCTTTATCTTGATTGCCTTCGATCTTCAGCCACCCTCTCGGCGCGCAAACCAATGCAGCCGATGCAAACCATTTGTCCCAAGAATCGCTGCGCGTCGCTGCAAACCATTCGTCCCCATGGTTCCCTACGTTCGGCAGGGCAAGAATCGCTTCTTTTTCGCCCATGTTACATGGAGAGAAGAGTTGTTTTTTGAAAGAATCTGACAGAGTTGCTTTGCGCCCAACGAGCTAGCATCTCACGAGTTGTCCAATACTAGTATCAGGCAAGATGAGCCAACATGCCATCAAGTCAAGTCCTCCTTTCGTTTGATCAAGATGAGAAACTAGGTTTTCCGCTGCGTTGAGTAATTACTGTGTGTCAAATCCTGAGGAGGGCTCGATCATTCTATTTGCCGAGCCACGTCTTTAAGCTGATTTGGGATTTTGTGGAGAGTTACCGAGAGCTGCGATGCTTGATGTCCTGTTCCAAGGTGGGCACTGGATTAGCGATGCATGTGGATTGGGCATGTAGAGGATCTATGAGGATCTCATCATGTTGGACAATCTTGAACCACCTGGATGAGAGTATTGAGCTGGCTCAACCGCTGCGAGGCCCCTCCCATATGTCGTGTAGCTCTCGGAACTACCCATGTGCATCCATTTGTAAAACGAAGACAGGTGTGAACATGGCCCCTTTGCAAAGTTCAGTAGAGTCCCTAACTCTATGAATCGGTGTTTATTCGACATGGCATTGCCTCTACCTAAGGTGGTGGAAAGTGGTTTACGGGTGGACTGAGGGTAGTTATTGTAGGATATTGTAGGTTGATGTGAATTTTGATTGACCATGGAGCGCAGCTGAGCCAAGTTCTTTTAACGTACACATTAATACGAACGCATAGGCACCCCACAAGCATTTCGACACGGAAGGTCTGTCATAGTCTATAGGCTATAGGCATTTGTTGTAGGCAACTTCCTGATGAGCACTTAGTGACTCAAGTTGTGCCACACTGTACAATAAACTTGCATCAATTGTGTCCAGCAGCTGGTGTGAACCACATTGACCCCTGTGAGCTACACATGCGTGTGGCACCCGGCACTTCTGGGATCACTGGTTGTCATGTTTTTAGATCGTTTGTGGTCTAGAGTCTATTTTGTCGAATCAAGAGTGGTGTGAGGAATCCCTTGGATCGGAAGATATGTCGCAGGAGTGGGAGAAGGGCATTTGGCCACTGCTCAAGTGTCCAGCCGGCCCAACTGATCGGCAAAAATGTGGCTTGAAAGAGATATCGCTGCGATGTGGGCATAAAATTTGCGGAGGCTGCTACTTGGCACAGTTAACAATATAATATATATTATATAGATAAATATATATATATTATATATTGAAGGTTCTCCAAGACAGCTCAGCAAAGAACTATGGCATAATGTCCATTTGTCTCCTGTTCAATCATGTTCAACCTGAATTCCATGAACGTTTGACTTTCACGATGACTGAAACTACATTGAATGGCAAGCTCTTGCCCCCCCAACTGAGGCAAAGACAAGTAGTCAAAGTGCCCTGTTTGCTGGCGTTTTCCGCGTGATGAAGGTGATTACAATTCCCTGAAGTCTATGGACAACCCGCGCACCTCAGAGCCCTCACAGAGAGACACTGCGAGCCTCTACTCCATCTCGGAGGAGGTGCAGATCCCAGATCGATGCATTTGCAGGCCAAACGAGAGCTTTGCCAAATTGTTTTCCGTGCAGCAGCCAGAGGAGCGATGGTTTGCGGGACATTCTCCCAATTCTCTACATCAATGTGTTCCATTTAAACGAATCCGTAAATCCTGGTTGGGTTGCTTTGTCAGCTTGGGATGATGGGGGATGTTTGAAAGAAACATGGATTCATTTGAGTACTTTTGATATGGTTCATCCAATGGCTGAAGAAGACTGCCATTGATGACCAGAATGGTGCGTCCAAAGTCGGTTCCAAGCTTGTTTGGAGGTGTTGAATGCGCCTTCAAATGTGTAATGATCATTGCATATCATTTAGTGTTTTTCTAAAGGTCAACCATCATCAATTTGTCCACTAGAACTGGGCCTGTTCAACAAATGTTTGTTTGGAGGGAGCAACTTGTAGATGCTCAATTTTTGTGTGGGTGTTGAGCAAACCTGTGCAGTCAAGGAGGAACATCATCCACTGGACGTCACGGAGAGCTACTGGGCCCAACATTATTTTCCTGATGCTCGCGCCACGACGGTGGTGAGACACTGGGTGCTGATACGCGAGGGCAAGCAGAAGGTGGCAAAAGTGTCTGGGGCTCCCAGTGTTTCCGGGAGCTTGGGTGTGGCGTTGGCGCTCAACAGCAAAACGCGAAACCTGCTCATTGTGCACAAACATACTCCTGATTCTTGAAATGCGGTCCAGCATGTTGACATGCCATCTTAGAGCCGGCCTCTCCATTTCAGAGGGCGTAGGAGTCAGAATGCTTGATCTCCAATTGGGTGTGTGTGTGTGTGTGTTACTATAATTGCAACTGAAACCAGAGTAATTCCTGCAAGTAGTGTTTTTCCGGCTAGTGAGCAGTGTTAATTGCGTTCCTGTCACGCACTGTTGTTTCTTAAGAACTTGGTGGACTGATGCACACTCTCTCCTGGTAACTCCCTCACCTTTAAATGGTCTCAATGGACAGCCGTGTTCATCAATCAGTATGGCCGGCTCAGGTTCTTTTCCACTGGAGCCATCCAATTTCTAACGCTCGACCTCAGACAGTATGAGGTGCGAACCTGTTGTGACAAACAAGATAAAGAAGGACAGTTACTGGGTAGTTCCAGACGATTAGAAGGAAGAGGTAGGACTTCAGCAAGTTCTGCTTCACGTCATTTCATGTCCAGTTGCAAGCCTGGGTTCATCGCCAAACATGCAGGAGATAAACCGACAAAGTATGTTATTCCTCCCGTTTGTTGAAGTAATGAGAAGTGCTTAGAGGGAGCAAAGGAAAAAGGATAAAGGACGAGGAGAAGGAAAGAGGAACAGGGGTGAAAGAAAAGGCACTGAAAGCATACGACAGCAAACCAAAGGACATGAGGCAAATCGCAGCACACGAAACGAAAATGAATAAAGGCCAATGTTAAGGAGTTGCCCAAGCTCACCGAAGGGTGTTGTCAAAAGCAAAGTAACACGCCGGTGATGCTCATGTTGGATCTATACATTGGTGACTGCGACTTGCGGGGAGAATTTCTCGCTGCTGCGGGGTAGTGCAAGGCAACCAATCGGCCATGAGGTTTAAAGACTCTGAGCTCCCTTCAAACATGAGCAATGGCCCCCACTTGGGGAAGCGGCTCAGTCCTTGTTCAAAGGCATCCCCACTGCCCACATCGGCATGCAACTGCCCAGCCTAGATGGTAGTCTTTTTCAGATTGACTCTTTACTGAACACTATGAGTAGCGAGGGCCAGTTTTCACCCCAGAAAGCTGTGACATGACATACTGTGACCAAAGTTGCACAGCCGCTGCAGGAACACAGTTACTTCCACTTGACCTCGAAATCCTGCGACACCGAATTCGCTGCCGCTGCTTGGTTTGGTGATCAGGTTCTTTGAACAATTGGTGTGGCAATGATCCTCCAAGTTGGTGTGCACCTGAATACACAGCTACACTGCTCCCTGCGGCGGTGTGAGCGCTTTGTTGATTACTGGGGATTTGTCAGCGATGCCACTTCGTTCGCATCTTTGGAATAAAGCCGCCTTGGTTGGTCGAGTGGGAACAGTTGCTGAACCCCACATAGGAGGAGGACATCAAGTTGAATGCAAGAATTCCAGAGAGAGTGAGTGGTCTTTTGATGGCTGCCAACTCGGGCCTATGCGTTTGCTGATCATGACCAAACAACCCTCCTTTGTGCTGGCACAAGCCATGATGATAGATACTCGCATGACTTGTGTTGGAGGTAAAGATCCTACAGCGTCGGAAAATGTCACCTTCGACAGGCTTTGTGGAAGCTATGCCAAGTAGTGTTTCCAGTGTTTCCCATAATTGTTCTTGTGCTGTGAGCGGTGGAAATCCTTCACCTCCTGGAAGCCAGTGAAATGTTGCGATGACTGGATAAAACTCGCAAGAGATCACTGGAGAAAATGCTTCCCAAGTACCCAAAGCAACAACACTTCAAGGCAGGCGAAGGCTGCTCTAATGACTCAGGTTCAAAACGTGCTGGCGCAGACTGCAGCAAGGCACCGGTAGTTGGAACTGGCGGCGGTCGTGATGGGAACACAATTCATTTGGAAGAAGAATATTGGTATATATCGGGATTATATTTCCATACAACCCCCACTACATCATATCATATGTTCAATACAAAGGAATCCAGAAAGATTTTTGATTTTTACCGATCATTCATTCTGAAGGTTGATTTAATGATTGAAATATTTAATTCAATTCTGATAAATTGGTCAGGCCAAAAAATAGATGGAATCGAATAAATCATAATTTCAATTAATGAAATAGAATGTCAAGAAAAAAGATATATATATATACATAGAATATTAATAATTAAAATATAATATGTAAATATAATTAAATATATTCTTTTTATATATATAAATATCATATATAATTATATATATAATCTAAAATGTATTAAATATATTTATTTATTGTTGTAATTAAGGTATTTTAGTTATATATATTAATTACAATAATTATGGTTATTGATATATGTTGTTTTATTTTAATTTAATTGGAAAATTAAATTAATATATATTGAATTGGAACAAATATTTGAATATAGCTTGAATTGATAAATGGGAATTGATTATAAATATAAATCTAAGATTTATGAAAGGATATATTTTGTTAGCATTTGGAATTATATTGTTTTTATTGCGATTAATTCGCGATATTTTTGATATTAAAATCGACCATTATAAAAGGAGATATCGATATTATATCGGATGATAATTATATTATAATTAAATTAAATAATATATTTTTTGCCTAAATATTGCCTTTAATAATGATAATTAATAAAGCAAAGAATTGGAATATAAAATAATATTTCGGTGAGGCTTTGTATATAATATTGTTATGTACGAGATCGTTCTTTCGTGATTGATATTGTCGGGATCGCGGTTGATCGGCGATTATAATTACTTCAAATATAATATTTTTATGGGTATTTTGATTAAAATTTAAATTAATATTAAAATTATTGATATAATTAATATATTTTTTTTATATTTATATTTATTATCGAAATTATAAAACAAATATTTATTTAATATAATATTAATAAATTTCTACAAAAAATCGAAGGGTTGATAGCATATTTTATATTTGAATTTATGTTCGTCGGTATAAGACAGAAATGGGTTGTACATTTAATGTGACATCTAGAGTTGAATTTGGCCCACATTTCCGGAAAAAAATTGAATTCGATACGCTAGAATTCGATCGTACATTGCCGTTGGTTGATCTAGTTAGCTATTGACTAAGATTGATTATTGATATTGGGGAATTTAATTTGATTTGAGACCTCTTTGATGGCGATTGCTCCTGCTGGATCCTTCATTGTTTCGGCTAGTGGATATATTGGCAGATTATAAGGAGTACCGGAAGAGGTTGATGTTGTATGAAAAGAATATATTTTTAGTTGGCCATGAAAAGGAAACAGTGTTTAATATTATATGCACCTTGAAAGGTCGAACATGGGACGCCTGTGAGGATATCCCAATGGGCCACTTAGAGGGAGGCGGCTCGATGAAATTCATCCTGGATCGCTTAGACAAGATCTTCAAATTTGACACTATGACAGAACTTCCAGGTGTCTTCGAGAATTTCTTTGTGATTTTAATTCGCAAGAGAAATGCCACTCTCCAAGAGTACTCCGGCGACTTCGAACGTGCCCTTCCCAAGTTGGAAAGTCATGGAGTGACCCTGCCTGATAAGGTGGTTGGTTGGTCCTTTCAGTGAGTCAGCGGCAAAGGGTCATGTCCTCCATCGGCACTGATACCTTGAGTTTGGAGAAAGTCCGAAAGGTGATGAATTTCGTTCTCGGATAAGATAGTGTGCCGGATGGTCATGACAAGACAGCAAAACAGCAACGCTGGAGGCCACCTTTTGTGAAGGATTCCATCTACCTCGAGGAGGAGGAGGAGGATGACTACCAGGACGATGATTTCGCTGTGTTGTTTGCTGATGAGACCTTTTAGGCAGAAGACCATGAAGAGTATGACGACGATGAGAATGAGGCCGAGATCCACGTCATCTCCGACGACATGGCTGCCGAGTATAATGATGTGCTGGTTGGCTACACTGAGGCCAGACAGAAATTGAATGTCCTTCGAATGTCCCGAGGGTATTACCTAGTGGTTATAATGATTCCTGAACAAGGCCAAGGAAAAGGTTATGCAACCTACTCCACGGGCAAGGGTAAGGGCAAGTCCAAAAGCAAGGGCAAATCTGGAGGAAAAGGTCAGAGCTTACGTCAACAGCCCAAACTTCCATCGGCCAAAGCCAGAGGCCGTGCAGCTCTTGGTGCCGAGAAGTGTTTGAGATGCAGTCAAGCAGGCCATCGAACAAGGAATTGCCCAGCAGCAAGGAAGCGCAAGGCTGACTCGAACATTGAAACAGTTGCCAACATGGTCTATGATGAGGTGCAGCTGACCGTTGACGAGAAATCAGGTCGTTCAGATGACATTGCCATGATGGATTGTGGTGCCGGCAGTGTACTCACCTCTGAGGAACACTTGAAAATCTATCTCCAATTCCTCGAAGAGTCAGGCTTCAATGTCAGTGACATCCTTGTGTTTCGTTGCAAGAAGGGCTTTCGCTTTGGCAATGGCGAGAAGAACATCACTTCCGTTTGTGTTTTGGTGCCCACATTCATGAAAGCCTTGAGGCGAGACATCCTGATGTATGTCATTCTTGGGTCAGCACCCTTCCTGTTTGGAAGACCCTTGATGGACGCTTTGGAAATCACCATCATTACGGCTCAAGAAAAATGAAATGGGGTCCCAAAGCATGGAAGTTGATCCCTCGTGGATCTCGAGGTGAGTTCGTTTGCCATATGGCATCAGACATTGCCAAGTTGGCGAAGAAGGAGCCAGAAAAGGTGTTGCTGCCCGATGACTTCAATGAACACGTGCATCCTGAGATCCTGTTTGTCGACATGTTCTTCAATGGTGGCTCAGATGGAACGCTGAGCATGAGTGAGGATGCCGTGAACAGTGTGATGGATGAGGCAACGAAATTTTCCCCTGCAACCGAGAAGATTGGCCTGCAAATGGTGCATGAGGCATGCGAAAAGAGTGCAAGATCCTCAGTCTGTCTGGAGAGGCCATACCATTGAATTCATCATTTAAGACCACCTGCCGTCCTTGACCTTGAGGATGGAGAGGAGATTGTTACCGAGGAGGTCAAGTTAAATCCAGGGCCACAAGAGAGGCTTGGGTTGACCAGGCTCTTGAACCATTTGGACGTTCGCAAAGTACAATCTTGCCACGTCTTCGTTGCTGCTCATACACCACAGCGCAGAATATAAGCACATTGTCATGGTCCCAGATGAGCTACTCCTCAAGTTTCTCTGCATAACCAGGTTTGGATGCAACACTCAGCTCTTGAAATTGGCTCCATAACTTGCAGGTTGGAAAAACAGCACAGCATCTAGCTCTTCCTTTCGCAGCAGTCGAAGAAATGACACACAGTGACGTGAAATCCCAGTCTTCCGAAAGTGAAAAGTCATGAGCGATCATATTCTTGCGTCGACATGCTGTCTTTGTCGCCCGACCCTCACCTGCAAAGACTTCCCACAATGAAAAAGGTCGATCTCCAGATGATGTTATCTTCACTAGAATGGCTTGCAGGACTTCTTCAATCTTTTCTATTTTCTTCTTAGTGTCCTGCATCAGTTGACGAAGTTTTGCAGGAATCAATGCAGCTGGATCCGATCAGGAAGAACCGAGCACTTCGAGCTCAAATTGGACCTCGTGCAATAGACTACGTCCAGAGGCTTCATCGCAATCTTGGCCATCCTGGTTGGGAAGTTCTGCGTAGGATGTTTCGTGAAATTCAAGCAACAGATAATGTGTTGTTGGCTGCCAAGTTCACTTGTCCCTTGTGCTATGCTCGAAAGCCTGCATCTGCACTGAAATGCACAGAGTTCAACGATCGCATCCTGGTTGACAATCACTGGACTTCCCGCGAAGACAATGTTGTGAAGGAGAGAGTTCTGGCCCCAGGAACACCAGCTGCCCGCAGACGTGAGAAAGACAAGAAGGAGAAGAGACCAATTTGTCGTTAATGTGTCCTCACGATCATCGATCATGCTACTCGATACTGTGCCATCCGAATCTTGCAGTCAGAGGAGGCAAAGGAGTTCACCAAGGGCATCGAACGTTCGTGGATTGGGATGGTGTAGTGAGCATGTTCGTGCTTGGGCAACCCGGAGAAGAATCACCTTAGAGATACAACCTGCTGAGAACCATAGTTGGCTTGGTATGGTGAAGCGAAAGCATCAGGTCGTGAGACGAGCTTTGGAGCTGTACATAGCTCAACGTGATGACCACTCCCTGTCGTCTTTGAAAGAAGCCGTTTTACATGTTCCACACTCCATCAACCAGCTTTCATTTCACAAAGGTTCACACCTTAGCAATGGGTCCTTGGCAAGTCCATGAATTAACTCCATGGATTGAGTGGTAAGTTTTTCAATCCGGTTCAAGAAGCAATTGATGAACGAGGGGTTTTCGTTGCCGTTCAGGCAAGAGGTGCTGAAGCTGCCAAGGCATTCATACATATCGATAGTGACGCCAAGCTGAGGAGAGCCTTCAACCAAAAGTTCTCTGAGATGCAGGAGGAACTGGTGATTGGCCAACAGGTCTGGTTCTGGCGCAAAAATTTGAGAAGATTTCACAAGTCTGGCTGGCGCGGACCAGCTCGAATTGTCGCGATTGAAGAGCAACAAGATGTGAATGTCTATTGGCTATGCCATGGAACGTCCTTGGTTCGTTGTGGAGCCAGACAAGTCCGGCCATTAGTTGAAGATATTGACATGCCGGTGGTCGTTGATCGCAAAGCCGCTCTCCGTGATCTACAAGATCTGAAGGCCAGATCGACCACACAGTTTAAAGATGAGTTCAAGAAGGCTGGGATGCATGATAACACAGCCGACCTTGATGGTGATGATGTTGAGCTCGATGCCAGCTACCAGCCTAAAACAATGATGTTAATGATGAAGATGATCTTCGTGAAGAGCCACCCATTCCTGGAGTGGTCAGTGTTTTTCTGCCATAATTGGAGCTCCCCATGATCGTAAACGAACATTTCGTCGCTGAGAGTCAATCCAATCGACCTTGGCACCTCCAATTGAGAGAGAGAGAGATGAGCCACCAACACCATGAAATCCAAAGAGAAAAAGCGACAATGAATGGATGGAACCAATATCCCCATGCCTGATGATAATGATAATTTGATCCTTGAAGAAGTTCACCTCACAGAGTTGCCAGCAGATGCACCAGAAG